CGCGGGTGGTCAGGGAGTCGGCGAATAAATGACACACAGACACACTTCAAGAGAGTGAAAATCTGAGTGCAACTTTATTTGAGTCAGTGGTCAGTATATATATGTTTTTCTAAAGGCATAGGATCGGTTATCAGTGAATTAAACCAGCTGGCTCATAGGTTTAGCTTATCATTGACAGGGCAGTGATCTATGTCCGAAGTTACATCTGGACCTAGTCATTTTCTTAAGTAGTCAGGCTAATAATTTTTCTTTTGTTCTATGTAATTACTTTTTTGTTTTAATAACTACTCACTACCACTAACTTATTTATTAATTAGCATGGGTGAATATACTTTTCACAAAGTAATATTTTTTCATTAAGATCAAAGCTAACAAAGCCAAGGACACAACAGAGAAATCATAAAACTAACAATTCTATTATTACACAGAGTTTAGTAATGTTTCATTTGAATTAGCCTAGTTATTAGATTACGTATGTTTTTTAATCAGCAATCAATGACCAGAAAAAGGAAAGATTTTAGAAAGACAGTTGTAGCAGAATAAAGTTTGTGGGCCTTGAGAAAGCGAGATAAGGTTTCGTGTGTTCAGTATTCCTTTTAACAATCTTCGTGGCGGCTTCTGGTGGTCATTATCTCTTAACAGGCATCCGACCTATCTAAGCTTTAGGGAGTTTGCTGTTCTCCCCCTGCGCGCATGGTTCCTTGCTGGACCTCAGGGACCATGGCAACAGCCATTAGCCCTGAAGGTCACTGCAGGGGGAGGTGCAGCAAGTGAGAATGGCACCTATTAAAAAAAAAACTAGCAACAATAAATGATGGCGAGGTTGTGGAGAAAAACGAACTCTCCTGCACTGCTGGTGGGAGTGCCAAGTGGTCCAACCACTATGGAGAGCTGTATGGAGATTTCTTGACCTACTAAACATAGAGCTTCCATATGATCCAGCAGTTCCACGCCTAGGTATTTGCCCAAAGGACATAGAAACATTAATTCCAAAGGGCACCTGCATGCCTATGTTGATAGCAGCACTGTTTACAATAGCTAAGCTATGGAAACAACCCATATGTCCAAAAATAGATGACTGGATCAAGAAGATGTTGTACGTATACACAATGGAATATTACTCAGCAATCAAAAAAGATAAACACATGCAATTTGCAGCAACATGGATGGAACTAGAAGGGATCATGCTCAGTGAAATAAGTCAGAAAGAAAAAGACAAATACCGGATGGTCTCACTCATAGCAGGAATTTAGAAAACCTAAATAAGAGACCAGGAAAAAGACTAATCAATACAAAGTAAAAACCAAATCAACAAGCAACTATAAACCAGAGACACACTACGGGGGGCGGGGAGAGAGGGGCGGGGAGAAGGACTAGAGTCAATATAACGGGGGGTGCAATTATATCGGGAATATAACCAAAATGAAAATGCATACATTATGCAAAGATTAAAAATGATGTAAGAATTATATAAAATATTAAAAAAATAATTATGCTAAATCTACTGTGCTTGTGCTCTATAAATGGAACAACAAAGCCTGGATGACAGGATATTTGTGTATATATGGTTTACTGAATTTTTTTTTAAAGATTTATTTATTTATACAAGAACTGGGGTACAGGTCAGATGTGTGGGAGGGTGAGAGGATTCACCAGAGACAGAGCGGGCAACAGAACATGCAGACTGACTGAAATACACTGCTGAGGGGAGCAGTAGGCAAGACAGGAGAGGTCTGTCCCGCCATGTGGGGTATCTCTGCGGCTGGTGGGGATAAAACCAGAACTGCAGAAGCTGCAGACAGCTTCACAGCGCTGCGCTCAACCACCTGCGCCACCAGGGAGGCCCAGTTTACTGAATATTTTAAGCCCACTGTTGAGGCCTATCGCTCAGTAACTTTCAAAATATTATTACTTGTTTACAATATACCTGTTTACCCAAGAGATCTGATAGAGATGTACAAAGATCAATGTTATTTTCATTCATTTTGCAGCCCATGGATCAGGAGTAAATTTGACTTTCAATCTTATTTTTAAGAAATACATTTTAAAAAGCTGTAACTGGGCCTCCCCGGTGGCGCAGCGGTTGAGCGCTGGGTTGCGAAGCTGCCCGCAGCCTCTGCGGGGCCGGTTCGATCCCCGGCTGCTCCCCGGCCACTGGAGGAGGGTCCCACATGGCACGCAGACCTCTCCTGCCGCCCGCTGCTCCCCTCAGCAGTGTGCTTCGGTCCTTCTGCCTGCTCTGCTCCCTGCTCTGGCTCTGGTGAATTCTCTCACCCTCCCATTCTTCTGACTGTACCCAGTGCATGTATAAGCAAAACAAACAAACAAATAAATAAATAAATAAAACATGCCTCTATAAAAAAAGAAAAAAAAAGAATATTTTAAAAAGCTGTAACTATGCTATACGAAGACATCCCTCTACTGATGTGGACAAAGTAAATTTAAAATCTTCTGAAAAGGATTCATTATTCTAGATGTCATTAAGAACACATGATTTTTACCATTCATGGGAAAAGGTCAATATTAACAAGAGTTTAGAAGTTGATTCCAAATTTCATCAATAAGTGGTTCAAGATTTCCATGTAGGTACTATAAAGAAATAGCAAGAGAACTAGAAGTGGAACCTGAAACTATAACTGGATTGTTGCAATCTCTCTTTTGTTTTTTAAAGATTTATTTATTTATGCATATAAGAGCTGGGGTACAGGCCAGAAATGCAGGGGGTGAGAGGATTCACCAGCCACTCGTGCTGCAGTGGCTGCAGATAGCTTCATAGTGTGGTGCTTAACCCCTTGCGCCACCAGGGATGTCCTGCAATCTCTTAACATTTAAATAGATGAGGAGTTGCTTCTTAGGGATAAGCAAAGAAAGCATTATCTTATATAGAATCTACTCTAGATGAAGATGTGGTAAACAATGCTGAAATGACAATAAGGGATTTGAAATATTGCGTAAGTTTAGTTGAACAGCATGACTTGAGAGGACTGACTCCAACCTTGAAAGCTCCACTGAGGATAAAATGCTATCAAACAGCATCTCGTGGCTTGGACATAACTTGTGAAAGGAATAAATGAATGTGGTAAACTTCATTGCTAGCTTATGCTAAGAAGTAGCTACATCTACCCCAAACTTCAGCAACCACCACCTTATCAGTCAGTAGCCATCAACACTGAGACAAGACCCTCCAGCAAAAGATTATGACTCACTGAGGTTCAGGTGATAGTTAGCATGTTAAACAATAAAGTATTTTTAAATTAAAATACCACTGATATTTTAGATATAACACTATCAGACACTTAATAGGCCACACTATAGTGTAAGCTCAGTAAGAAAACAACTAATAACTTTTTTTTTTTTAATGCGCAAAGATTTGGATCAATTCAACAAAAAAGATACACAAATTCCAAAGTCCAAATCACGTGTAAAGATACTTAATATCACTAGTTGTTAGGGAAATGCATATTAAAACCACAAGATAGCACTACATACCCATTACAATAATTAAAAAGGCTAACCAGGGCCTCCCCTGTGGCACAATGGGTTAAGCACTGCACTACAAAAGAATCCGCAGCCTCTGCAGCACAAGTTCGATCCCCAGCCGGCCAGGGAGCAACCCACATGGCGAGGCAGACCTCCCCTGTCTCGCCCGCTGCTCCCCTTGCAGTGTATTTCAGTTAATCTGCCTGTTCTGTGCCCCGCTCTGTCTCTGGTGAATCCTCTCACCCCCTGCATCTCTGGCCTGTACCCCAGCTCTTGTATGCATAAGTGGATAAATCTTAAAAAAAAAAAAAGGCTAACCATACCAAGTATTGGCTGGGATGCAGAAAAACTGGAATCATACGTTGCTGCTGTGAATACAAAATCCACAACCACCTTAGAATACAGCTTGGCAATTTTTTTCTTAAAAAGTCATTCGCCTACAATATGATCAAGTCGTTTTGTACCTAGTTGTTTGCCCAAATGGAAATATATGTTCATAAAAGACTTCTATACAATAATTGCAATTATTGCATATTTTGGCAAGAGCCATCAAATATTTTTTTAATTTAATTTTATATATTTTACATCATTTTTCATTTTTGCACAATGTATACATTTTTATCTTGGTTATAGTCGCCATACAATTCCCACCCTCCTTGTTTTGATCCTACTCCCTTCTCCCCCCTCCCCCTAGCCCCTGCCTTAGTGCGTCTCTGGTTTATAGTTGCTTGTTGATTTTGATTTTTACTTCATTATAATTAGTATTTTTCCTGTCCCTAATTCAGGTTTTCTAAATTCCTGCTATGAGTGAGATGATCCAGTATTTTTCTTTTTCTTTCTGGCTTATTTCACTGAGCATGATCCCTTCCAGAAGAGCCATCAAATATAACTGTCTGACAGATTAAGCTTCTATGTGTGAAATGATTTGTGCACAGTGATGTATTAGCTCTGACAATAACAGCAAAAATGTGGAAACAATTCAAGTGTCCATTATTAGGGAAATGGTTTTCAATTTAGCTATATTTGACACAATTTTATGAAAATTCTATGAATATATGTTAATTGGAAAATTTATATATAATGATCACCACTGTAGCAAGAACTAGCACCTTTATCACATAATTACCCTTTCTCTTTATTAGATGGGATAATTAAGTCCTACTCTTAAAGTGGGATGATAGTACAATATCATCTATATTCACTATACTGTGCATTAGTTCTCCAAGGGCTTATTACTGCCAGTTACAAGTTTACACCCTTAGCCACATCTGTCCATTCCCAAATTGCCTCCTCTTATAAGAACACTAGTCCTACTAAGACTTCATTTTACCTTAATTACCTCTTTGAAGGCCATATCTCTAAAAACAGTCATATTCTGAAGTATTGGTTAGAGCTTCAACTTATGTATGAATTTTGGAGGAACACAATTCAGTCCATAACACAGCCATGAGAAGAATAGTGCTTAGGAAAGAATGAAGATTCCTTTTAATGATTTGTAACCTTTATGAAAGCGGAAAACAAGAATTTATATTCACACTTTCTTTTATTCACGTGAAGAGACTTAAAATAAGCCCATAAAATTAATAAAAGTGGTTCACTAGTGAATATGGGAACAGGACGGATAAGGACAGAAGTGAAGTGAGTTTTGTTGTATACTTTATTATACACATATCTTTTGGAACATGTGAATATATTGGGGTTTTTTTGTAGTTACAAAAAAAAAATTAGATATTCAACTGATCCTAACTACTACCTATTTTGAAAATAAACCATCTGAAATTTGCATCTCCCTCTTTAACATTCCAAAATACCGATACATCATCATTACAGGTTTTTAAAGTTACATGACTAAGACCAAAAAGGCAAAACAGTTACATAATTTAGGAATGATCAAATGTTCAGAAACACTAAAATTTACTCCAGAGAAAGTAAAAAGCTTGACCTAAAACTAAAGAAAACAAAAAATTTAATCTAACATCAATATCTCTTACCCCACAAGATATATAGATACACAGATGGCTTTGTATGCATTAAAGCTATTTCAAAGTTACATTTCTATAAAATAGATAAGGGAACAAGCACCAAATCTGGCTGTGGTGGCCACACATGAAAGGTCTCCATGTGTGGTTCAGAGTCCCTTTAAAGAACCTGAACAGACTGTGGCTGTACTTAACTGAAGAGAGAAGCAGAGGGTGCCAGTCTTGTACCAGGCCTCATCTTTCAGAGAACTAGCAATACCCTCTTTCACCTTCTTAAAATGCAAGAGTCCTGAGAGAGCAGGGACAGCTCAAGTCCTCCCTGCCAAGTAAATGCCTGAATGCAACTTCATCAGAGACCCCAAGCAAGATCTGCAGACTTGCCCAGGTAGGCCCAGTCAAACCACTGGATCATGAGCATTAATTAAATGGTGTTGTTAAAGACATTAAGTTTTGGATTGCTTGTTTCAGACGAACAGATAACCGGTAAGACTAAAAGCACAGACACACAGCACTCACATTCTCTTCTTTCAAAATATTATAAAGCCAGCATCACTCACAGATGCTAAATTCCCCATTAAAATAATAGCAAATCAATCTTGCAGTTCACTGAATGATTAACACACATGGCCAAAGACAGTGTAGCCCAGGAAATACACAATGGTTCAAGAGTAAAATTCTATTTATATAATTCATAACATTAGTGAGTTAAGTAAGAAAACACATGATCATCACTGAGATTCCAAAAGTTCCTTTGTAAGAATCTTATTTGTTATTAACCACTGTTCTGTAATCATAGTATTGAATTCATTTTGAGGTTTAAAGTTGCACTAGGGAAAGCCACAAGTTTTGGTATTTTTCCTGGGGAAATGTGGAATAGAAAAATTGAGACAGAAGACAGTGGCGTTCCAATCAAGTCAGGACAAAGATAAACTGCCAACTATTACCAACAGTAGTAGACATTTTTCCGAAATTTCTAGACAACAAAATCAATGTGAAAAATAAATGAGTTTATATATACACATTTTAGAACATGGACAAATTGTTATAGTTTGCACCTTTCTGACATATATCAGCCAAAGCCAGTTAAAAATGGAAAAGAAAGTAGATTAATGTAAGGAATAAAATTAGAAGAGAATTGGAAAATATTTAAAAAGAAATGGGATTGTACTTTACATGTGAGCACACTGTTAGTGGGTGAAGGGCAGCTTATTTTCATTGTCTACATTATGTATTTTTTTTACTTTTTATATTATCTTACCATTAGAAAAAAATGATACATGTTTAACCACATTTTTTTTTAAAGATTTATTTATTTATACATACAAGCACTGGGTACAGTTAGAAGCGCGGGAGGGTGAGAGAATTCACCAGAGCCAGAGCAGGGAGCAGAGCAGGCAGAAGACCAAGGTACACTGCTGAGGGGAGCAGCGGGCGGCAGGAGAGGTCCGCGCGCCATGTGGGACCCTCCTCCTGTGGCCGGGGAGCAGCCGGGGATCAAACCGGCGCTGCAGAGGCTGCGGGCAGCTTCCCAACCCAGCGCTCAACCGCTGCGCCACCGGGGAGGCCCATGTTTAACCACATTTCTATAGAGAGCCAGTCAATATTAACCGGTAAAACTTCAAAAATTTCAAATTTTCAACTAGCATACATTCAACTCAAATGAGTGTATTTTATTGTTTTGAGGCTTTAACACAAAATTATTTTGCATAATTTAAGTTCAGGAACACTGCTGGTTTAGGGACATGATGTCCTCAAATCTGTTTACAGCACAGCAGACTCCCATGGACTCGAGGGCCCATCTGTGTGCACTATCCTAAGTTCGCTAAAAGTAGAAGAGGAGGGACAAAGTAATCACAGACCCAACAGCCGGAGAGCAGCATCATCTATCCCTTCACTTTGGGAAATTTTCCTAGTGTTTATCAGCAGAGATTTTTTTTTTAAAGATTTATTTATTCATACAAGAACTGGGGTACAGGCCAGAGGTGTGGGGGGGGGGTGAGAGGATTCATCAGAGACAGAGCAGGGAACAGAACAGGCAGATTGACTGAAGTACACTGCTGAGGGGAGCAGTGCTCGAGACAGGAGAGGTCTGTTGCGCTATGTGGGTTGTTCCGTGGCAGGCCGGGGATCAAATTTGTGCTACAGAGGCTGCAGATACCTTCATAATGCTGTGCTTAATGAGCCACCAGGGAGGCCCAGCAGAGATTTAGATCAAAATATGACCTGAGTATGAGGGGAGAGACTATTTTCAACCAAAAAAAAAAAAAAAAAAAAAAATTTGCAAAGGGCAGCCTATTGACCTGAGTAGGTCAATTATGAAAATATACAGATCTTCATCTTAGTCAAGTCTCTTTAACTTGATTTCTTGAGCATAACTTTGGTCAAAAGTTCTCCTGTATAAAAACAAAGCTGCACATACAGCATGTGCCAGGTCCTTTGCTGAGCTGGGCTAGTCATGGCAGGGATTGGTGGGGAAAGGCCACTGACCACCAGACGAGGTCACTTCCTTTCCAGCACTTACCATTCTCAGTTCATCAGAGAACAGATTGACATTCCACTCAACTAGCTCTTCACATGACTGTGGTCAAAGGGAATCTGGGGAAAAGTGCATCAAGTTCCTTCTCTAGCCCCAATTTCAGTTCCTTTTCCAAGGAGGTAGTACACAGTACTGGTGCACTCAACAAGCAGGTGTGTAGACCAAGCCAGAGCAGCCACCACTGACAGAAATGGGCAGAATCTGGGCCTCCCTGGTGGTGCAGGGTTTAAAGTCAGTGCCATCAAAGCCCTACTGGTGAAAACAAAAGAGAAAGGAGGTATTACACTTCCAAACTTCAAGCTATACTATAAAGCCATAATAATTAAAACAGTTTGGTATTGGAACAAAAGCAGACACACAGATCAATGGAACCAAATAGAAAGCCCAGAAATAAAATCACACTTATATGGACAGCTAATCTTTGTCAAAGGAACAAAGAATATGCAATAGAACATGAACAGTTTGTTCAATAAATGGTGCTGGGAAAACTGGACCACCACATGCAAAAAAGTGAAACTAGACCACTACCTCTCACCACGCACAAAAATCAACTCAAAATGGATAAAAGACCTGGACATAAAGATCTGAAACCATAAAATATATAGAAGAAAATACAGGCAAAACACTACAAAGCATATATCTCAGTAACATCTTTAAAGACTCATCACCCAAAGCAAAGAAAGTCAAGGAAAAGATAAACAACTGGGATTACATCAAACTGAAAAGTTTCTGTACAGCAGAACAGACATTAACCAAAACAGAGAGACACCCCACTGATTGGGAAAATATTTTTGCACTCCAGTCAACTAATACAGGACTGATCACAAAGATACACAAAGAACTCACATGACTCAACAAAAACAAAGTAAAAAATCCAGTCAAGAAATCGGCAGAAGAACTTAAATACATTTCTCCAAAGAGGAAATGCAAATGGCCAATAGGCATATGAAAAAATGTTCAACGTCCCTTATAATCAGGGAAATGCAAATCAAAACCACAATGAGATACCACCTTACACCAGAAAGAATGGCACATATCAAAAAAATTAGCAAAACTAAATGTTTGTGGCAAAAAAGAAACTCTCCTACATTGGTGGTGGGACTGCAAACTGGTCCAACCACTTTGGAAAGCTGTATGGAGGTTCCTCAGTCTACTAAACATGGAGCTACCATATAACCCAGCAATTCCACTCCTAGGGATCTACCCAAAGGACACAAAAACATTGATTTAAAAGTACACCTATGTTAATTGCAGCACTATTTACAATAGGTAAAACCTGGAAACAACCCAAATGCCCAAAAATAGATGACTGGATCAAGAAGATGTGGTATATATACACAATGGAGTATTATTCATCAATCAAAAAGATAAACTCATGCCATTCGCAGCAATGTGGATGGAGCTAGAAGGAATTAAGCTCAGTGAAATAAGACAGAAGGAAAAAGAAAAATATCGGACTGTTTCACTTACAGCAGGAATAAGGGGAACCAAATAAAACATCAGTGTAAAAAAATAGTAACAGTACAAAACACAACAAAGCAAAAACAGACAATTATAAATCAGACATACTGCAGGGGAGGAGGAGGGAGAGGGATCAAAGGGAAGGAGGGAGGAGAACATGGGACTGAGGTAAGGGTGCACGGGTGCATTGGGGAAGGAAATTCCATGGGGACTACACCTGAGAGGGTGGGGGGAAGCAAATATTGTTTAAAAATGAACAATGATGTGAAAAAAATTAAAAAAAAAATAATGCCTTCCAACAAGGCCAAAATAAGAAAAAAAAGAAAAAGAAAGAAAGTCAGCATTATCAACTTATCCAGCAGCCTCTGTATCATGAGTTCGATCCCTGGCCAGGGAGCTACACACATGGCACAGGAGATCTCTCGTCTCACCTGCTGCTCCCCTCAGTAGTGTATTTCAGTAGATCTGCCTGTTCTGCTTCCCACTCTGTCTCTGGTGAATCCTCTCACCCTCCCGCACCTCTGGCCTGCACCCCAGTTCTTGTATGCATAAATAAAAATAACTCTTAAAAGAAAAAAGAAATGGGCAAAATCCACTGTGCCCTTCCTATCTTCCTTCCCAAATAACCAAAAGATAAAGTATGTCATTAAACATTAAACACACTAAAAATGTTTAGAACCTATTATCCCCACCTTCCCAAATCATTTGAAAACGTGTTCAGAAATTCAGTTCCCTGGCTCACACAAAGCACACTACAGATGCAATGGAATCTATCTTCAGCCAAATGAAACTTCTTCATTGTTTAAAAAAGATTTAAATGCAATAAAAGTTTATTTTCATTAGAAAAAATTCATGTTGTAGTAATGCAGCAATATTATGATTACAGGAATAGCTTATTACAAAAAGGATGACTCCTGTAAAATAAGAAAACAAACCATGCTCCTTTCCCAGGTACTCCTGGTTACCTTAAGGAAGTCTGTAACTTTCACAACCAATGAGGGATGGGACACAAGAGGGTGGAGAGAGACGTGTAGAAGTTTCGGTGGCTGGTTCAGCCTTGCCCTTCAGGTGAAGCCTGGCACTGTCTAGTATGAGGTCACGACAGGACATGCTCCAGGACTCCTTGTCTAATCAACTGCTCACATTTCCATCGAGGTAGAAAGTGCTAAGGGGCAAGAGGTAAGGAAAATAAGAGAGAGAAATGATGAAAAGATTTTAAAATTACTTTCGATATCATGAAAAGCAGCTGATTATCTTGGAAAAAGAAGGGCAATTCTGCAGATGAGAAGTTGAGCTTTCTAAAACAACCCAGCAATAGGCCATTTTTATTTGAATTTGGTATCTCTTAGAAGGGAAAATGCAGCCCCCATTGGCAAGTTTGCTGCTATGGCATCAATTAAACTTCAAGGATTGCATAAACCTGTGTACATTGACTAAGTGACTGTGAGGATCATGTTGCCATAATGAACACAAGACAGGTTGCATTTTTTGGAAACAAATGGGAACAAATAATCTGCTCCTCTCATACTGGCTACCCAGGGAGATTTAAACAAGTAACAGCTACTCAGAATCCAGCAGTAATTGTAATACTAGCTATTTATATAGTATGCTACCAAAAATCTTCCATTTCATCTTTTCCCAGGTGAGGTTAAATCACAAAGTATTCTTAAGAATTTATGGAACAGCTTCCTCATCCACATGGAAGACATCTAGATGAGTACACACTAGAAGAAATAGAGGAATGGAAATTGCAGAAAATAACAGGGGGGTGATTGGAACGTCTTATGAATTTCTCCTGACTTAAGGGCAGAGTGCAACAATTGTTGTGTTTTGACAAGAAACCTATTATTGGTGTCAAAATTTTGTGGGGAACGTTCAGGAAAGAATATTCCTTCAACAGGAAATTGCAATAAAATATATTAGCTTATAGAATTGTTTTATTATATAATGAACTTTAATGTTATAAGTGATGTGAATAAAATACTCAAATTTGCATGTAAACAAAGCAACTGATTACATATTTTTTAAACTTCAACAGCTAAATAGTTAAAAGCTAAACTTAAGTATATTTGCTGTTTTAATCAACTGAAATGGATGCTACTTAGAGCTGTACTAAATTCTGATTTTTATAAAGAAATTCTAGTTTGCTTAAATTAAATTAAACTCAGTGTTTGCATTTTTGAATTTATGCACAGAAAACCCGGTGTGTGATTTAGAGGTATCAAATGACAGTAATGCAGCAGTTATTGAGGAAAACTAAAGAAAGGAGCACCTTCTCTAGTAAACATTTTCTAGGATATGAGTCTATACATTTATTCTTCTAATAACAACAATGGCAACAACACTTCTCCTGCACATTTTAAGAATTAAGAGTATTTATAACCTAAGGCATGCATGCTGTTCACAGAGCACGTGAACTGCTGGTACCCAGTGGCTGTGTGTGTACAAAGTTCTCCTTTTTATAATGAAAGAGTTCGCTTTATCTGATCCCTCTCAAAACACAGAAAGGGCTTAACACAGAAGTGAATAGTTAAAAAACTCTGGAATAAGGAGGTGCAGGAAGCAAAGCAGAAAGACTTTGGTTCACAAGTGACAAAAGAAATTTCAAGGAAGACAGATACACTTCGGTAAACAGAAAAAAAGTATATTAAGAAGCACACAGAGCAGATAGCTTAGAAAATAACTGTAGGAGCAAAATAGCAAAGGGTAACTTCAGCAGCACTATGCATATAATGGTCCTTCCTCATAAACTCAAAGGCCTTAAGAAATCCAGTAGCAAAAAAGTCCTCCAAACGAGGCATGGACATACACAGACCAAGTGCTATTGTTTAAAGTTAACTGATTCTAACAAGGTTTAGGAATAAAAATGTAAACAAGGCCTCCCCTGGTGGCGCAGGCTATTGAGCACAGCGCTGTGAAGCTGCCCACAGCCTCTCCATTACCGGTTCGATCCTGTTTGGCCAGCAGAATCCCACATGTCACTGCAGACCTCTCCTGTCTCGCCAGCTGCTACCCTCAGCAGTGTATTTCAGTCAGTCTGCCTGTTCTGTTCCCCGCTCTGTCTCTGGTGAATCCTCTCACCCTCCTGCGCATCTGGCCTGTACCCTGGTTCTTATATGCATGAATAAATAAATCTTTAAAAAAATGTAAACAAGAAAAAACACCACTAACATACTGAGTTGCCCATGTAACACAAATTATTCCAGTGTCTACTAAAAAGAGGGACTATTCTGATTTCTAGACAAATAGAAACATGTTGTCATTTATAGCAAGAAAATGTTTTCCTATTAATCTTCATCATGTGGATGAGCTACTCCATTGACTGCATAGAAAAACTCATGTCTTTAAAATGTCTGACCAATTCTAAAATGAAGATGATTGTCTGCAGATGATTGTCTTTTTCCTCGGATAGAGGCTGCAGATGATTGTCTTTTAAAAAACTTTTCCATTTATAATTGATGGCAGGGTGAAACTGAGAGGCAAAGTTAAATATACCATCAAGATGAAGACTTTTGTGTGGTCCACAGAAAACAATCATCCAGCAGAGGATCAGAGGGAAGAGTGGTTCAGGGGGTCCTGACAGCCCCAGGCAATGACAGCTGAGTAATCAGTGTCTCAGTACATGACTGGAAAGATCAGCCATGAAGCCTGAGGAAGAAATCCACCCACAGGTCTATGTTTGAGAAGAAGTGACATTTTCTTGTATATTGCTTTAGAAGGATAGCTTTGTTCTTGTGAACCACAGCTTCATGCTGGGTCTTCCGGAAACACTGATTTTTATGAGAGCATTAATTCATCATCTGATTTCTATTTATTGGTATCCTACTTCAGAAAGGGCATTTGGGAGGGAAACTTTTGCCTGAACAACCAAAGACTTTAGGGTTCCCTGACAATCTGTCTTTAATATATTCAACTTTTGTTTTAGGAAACAATTTAAAGATCCAAGGGTACAAGTAAAATAAGCGATCAACTCACCCTAGCTTAGTGAAATAAATCCATGAATTACATGACCTAAGACATTCTTTTGCTCCACGGCATAAACAAAGTCAGCTTGACGACTTATGGTCATTAGGCACTAACTGGTTGATAACATGAGGAGGCAAAGAAAGAAATGGTTGTATTAGGTCACTTTTACACTAATGGGGCCACAGAAAATTGATGTAAGATAAAAATTAATTTAGCCAATATGACTTTATGTAATGAGAACTTGAAGACTTTAGAGAAATACTGCTTTTTTTTTTTAAGATTTATTTATTTATTTATACAAGCACTGGGTACAGTCAGAAGCGCAGGAGGGTGAGAGAATTCACCAGAGCCAGAGCAGGGAACAGAACAGGCAGATGGACGAAATACACTGCTGAGGGGAGCAGCAGGCGGCAGGAGAAGTCTGCGCACCATTGGGACCCTCACCGGCGGCCGGGGATCGAACTGGCGCTGCAGAGGCTGTGGGTAGCTTTGCAGCCCAGCGCTCAACTGCTGCACCACCGGAGAGGCCCAATATTGCAATTCTTTGTGAGAAAAAGTTTAAAGTTATAACTTCACAATTTCAGTCTTTCCCTATTAAATTGTTATGTATATAGGTTAAACACTTAAAATTTTTTAATCCCTATCATTTTACTAAATTTAGTATTAGGATTTAAAAGGTAAAGTGTAACAGAGGCATCTCCATAAAAAGGGGAGGTACCATGTTCCCTGCCCCACCTAACCAGGGACGGAGCTGAACAGACAGGTGAGATACATAACATGGGCTCAAAAGAGATACCAGGGGAGACACAGGAAGAGAGACACTTGGAGTAAAGATATGTAGAGACACTTGGAAAAGACTGCTGGGTGAGATGCACATGGGGAGGCTGACAATAGCAGCCTTCATATTGATTTGTACTTTGATTTTGCTCCTTTCCTCCCAAACTAGCCTGAACCCTTTTGGCCCTTTTCTATGGTTCCCTGACAGAGGTAGGTACCTTAGACTTGTGGCAGGTTTTTGGGTGTGAGAAGTCCTTCTCATGTCCAGCCCTGTTTGGCTGGGCATTAACCCATGACGGGTTAGGTAAATTTGAGTGTTTTGTTTTTTTTTTTTCCAAAGACTTATTTGTTTATGCATATAAGAACTGTGGTGTAAGCCAGAGGTACAGGGGGTGAGAGGATTCACCAGAGAGAGTGGGGAGCAGAACAGCAGATCTACTGAAATACCCTGCTGAGGGGAGTAGCAGGAGAGTCAAAAGAGGTCTGCTGCACCACACGGGTAGCTCCTTGGCCAGCCAGCGGATTGAACTTGTGCTGCAGTGGCTGGCAACAGCTTGACAGTGCTGTTTGACTGTTTTATTGGGAAACTATTATCTTTTCTTCTCTCTCCATGCACACTAATACTACTTAAATTCTTTTTTTATTCATACAAACATTACTTATTCATTCAGTTAACTTCCATTAAGCACAAATAAATCTCAGTTGCTAGAAAAAGAGCTATAAAAGAGACATGGCTCACCCCTACAGTTTAAGGGAAACATAGATGAGCTCTGACAGATACTGCAACAGATGAAGGTATAGAACGTTAGGAAACTATTAAGAGTAGCAACTCAACCTGACTCAAATCACTAGGAAAGACTTTTAATAAATAATGTTTAAGACAAAATTCAAGAGTTTAAATTGAGGGATTGGTAAGAATATTCAATGCACAGGAAACAACATACATGAAGTCCCAGAAGTAAAAAGGAGCCTCCCACCTTGAGGATTTAGAAATAGTACTGAAAGATGGGAGGCTAGAGAGAGCTAAATTGACAAAAGTAGACTGGTGTGATAAGTACCAATAACCCTGATTTGGGGACTTATAAGCCATATCACTATTAAAATTTTTTCACACTAAGTTGGCTTTGTCTTTGTGAACATGTATGGCCAGACCCCATTAGAGCATGCAAGTTAGGGGTCCCCCCAGTCTGCCTGCTAACAGTGTACAGCTGAAAATGAGTGTTTTGTACCTTTTAAATAAATTAAAATTCAAGGAAAGGCACTAAATACAACAATTTAACAGCCCTTTAATTAGAATAAGCTCACTTTAACTAAAATAAAGGTTCTTTGTGATAATTTTCCTGGAAAATGCTCAATGTTAAACAGAAGCAATATCCATAGAAATTAATAAGCCTTGTCTTACTATGTACATTTGCTTCATCTTTATATTTAGCAAAAGTACAAGACAGGGTGTCTTATATGTAACACACGAAGCCTAAAATATAAATGATCATCATAAGGTGTGATATTTATTTTGCTAATAATTCCAACATTTCTATCATTTAGTACTCTTAAAAGATTTAAAGATTTAAGGTATCTTAAGACAAGAAATACCTGGCTATTCTTTTTTAATAGAACTGAAGTACCATCATCAACTTCAAATTCTCCATAGTCTTTCAGACACCGCACCTGAAAGGAAAAAGTGATATCTAAATTATTTTTTAGTCTATAGTGACCATAAAGTTAACAGGAATTATATAAATACCCACACAGTAGAAATACACACTTTCCTGTTTGCCATTTCTCTGTATACTTAGGCCTAGTACTCTTCCTATGATAGTCTGGTGGCTCTGACTGTCCTGTTTGGATGGGGAGGAAAAGGAATGGCAAAATCTTCAAACGTGCATGTTAGCACTGACAGCAAGGGAAACTGAAAAGCTGGTCAGGGGAGACATTACTGGATTCTCTCTGCAAATACTGAAAAGCGAAGCAGTTGACATATACATTGACAAAAGTGAATGTTTTATATCTATTCTAACCTGCCGCTCACAGATCCCTCTCATAAACATCAATACCTGAGAACACGGCATAGATAAGTCTATAAAATTTCGGTTTAAAGTGTTTCTTCTAACTACCTCCGATACGCAGATATTTTCCCCAGGAATACCGAGAAATAAACCACAAAAGAGCAAACACAGATTCATGTTATAAGAGTCAGGACAGTTCTTAGTCTATAACCTCTTCTGAAAACTACAAAGAGGGATAATTCTAAAATGTCCCTAGAGTCAGGACAGTTCTTAGTCTATAATCTCTTGTGAAAACTACAAAGAGGGATAATTCTAAAATGTCCCTAGAGAAAAGATTACAGACCTGGCTACAGCTCCAAGTGCTGCCACAGGAAACCAGGAAGTCATTTCCGACCTTTATGACAATTCAAACTAGTTTCTTCTGAGTACTAGGGTTGGTATTAGGCAATTCCAGCACCAAATTTCAATCCTCCACTTTTCCTAGATAATTTCATCCAGAATCTACTTTGACAAATACTATTTTAGAAAAATCCCTACCATCATTTTACTTCTTTAAATAGATTTTTACTATAGAAAATCTTAAGCATATTCAAAAGTAAAAGTATTAATATAATGAAACTCCATGCAACAATTATCAACACGTGACCTATCTTGTTTCCTCACCCACTTCTGGATTTTGTAGCAAATGCTAGAAATCATTTCATCTATATTTTAGTATCCATTTCTACAAAATAAAATTCTTCTTAAAAAAAATCTCAATACTGGGCCTCCCCAGTGGCGCAGCGGTTGAGCGCTGGGTTGCAAAGCTGCCTGCAGCCTCTGCAGCACCGGTTCAATCCCCAGCAGCTCCCCAGCCACCGGAGGAGGGTCCCACATGGCATGCAGACCTCTCCTGCCACCCGCTGCTCCCCTCAGCAGTGTACTTCGGTCCTTCTGCCTGCTCTGCTCCCCGCTCTGGCTCTGGTGAATTCTCTCACCCTCCCGCGCTTCTGACTGTACCCAGTGCTTATATAAATAAATAAATAAATCTTAAAAAAAAAAAAAAAACTCAATACTATTATCACATCTTAATAATTTTTATCAGGAAATATCAAGTTGGCATACATATTTCCCCATTTCTCTTGTGTGTTTTTACTTATCACTTAAATAATTTTATTTATTTTTAAAAATTTATTTATTTATATAAGAACTGGGTACAGGCCAGGTGTGTGGGAGGGTGAGAGGATTCACCAGAGACAGAACGGGGAACAGAACAGGCACAATGACAAAATACACTGCTGAGGGGAACAGCGCGCGAGACAGGAGAGGTCTGCTGCGCCATGTGGGTTTCTCCCCGGCTGGCTGGGATCGAACCTGCGCTGCAGAGGCTGTGGCCAGCTTCACAGTGGGGCGCTCAATCGCCTGCGCACCAGGGAGGCCCTTATTTATGTTTTTAATTGAAGTAACATTGGATATAACATCATTACAAATCAACATCTCTATATATACTATATTCAGTTCACCACTAAAAAGTCCAATTCCATCCTTCATCATACAGCAGACCCTTTATGTGATTTACCCTCCCACTTCCCCCTTCTCTTCTGATAATCACTAATAAAAATTTGGAATGCATCACAAATTTCCATGTCATCCATGCACAGGGGTGATGCTAATCTTCTGTGCATTATTCCAATTTTAGTATATGTGCTCATAACTTTTTTTTAAGTCACTATGTTCAAATCAGAATCCAAAAAGAGCTACACATTATATGTTTCGGATATGTGTCTAAGTCTCTTTAAACTATAAGGTCCCTTCCCTTTTCACCTCTCTTCCCCTTTGTAATTTATTTGTTAAAGAAATTGGGTAATTTGTGTTTGGTAGTTTCCCATAAACTATATTTTGTTATGGATTCTACTGGAGCCATTTAACATGTTCCCCTGTTTCTAAATTTTCTGTTAAACTGTAAGTTAGGTCTAGGAGTTGGATCAGATTAGTTTATATTATGTACTTCCTGTTGCAAGATCTTACAGAGACAAAATGTCTGGCTGTCCCTGTTTGGATGTTAAGATTGATCACTGGGTCTAGTTGTCGTCTAGACCAATCCATATCCTTATTAACATCTCTGTTGGACCTCCCTGGTGGTGCAGGCAGTTGAGCACCACTCCGTGAAGCTGTCCGCAGCCTCTGCAGTGCCAGTTCGATCCCTATCAACCTTGGAGCAACCCACATGGCGAGCAGACCTCTCCTGTCTCACCCACTGCTACCCTCAGCAGTGTATTTCGTCATTCTGCCTGTTCTGTACCCCGCTCTGTCTCTGGTTAATCCTCTCACCCTCCTGCACATCTGACCTATAACCCAGTTCTTGTATAAATAATCTTTAAAAAAAACCAAACATCTGTTAACTCTTTATCTCAATATATGAGAATTACAAAATGGCATTAAAGTAGTACTCTTATCCCAGCTACGTTTATAGCTGGAATTCTTCTATAAAAACAGAAATTTCCAGGCCTCCCTGGTGGCACAAGGGGTTAAGTTTCAGCACTATACAGCTACCCACAGCCACTGCAGGACGAGTTCAATCCCGGCCAGAGAGCTGACCCACATGGCGCAGCAGATCTCTCTTGTCTTGCCTGCTGTTCCCCTCAGCAGTGTATTTCAGTCAGACTGTCTATTCTGTTCCCCACTCTGTCTCTGGTGAATCCTTTCACCCCCAGCAGCTCTGGCCTGTACCCCAGTTCTTACATGCATAAATAACTAAATCTTTGGAAAAAAAAAACAAAATGGAAATTTCCATTGTAAACAATTTGGCATCCTTAGACAAAGTCTATACAATACAGGCAGAAAGGTGCTTGATTCCATTCTTTTATTTACCAGTTGTAAAAGTGAGCTGCATCTCTCATACTCTTCAAAGGCAGCCAATGAGGCTTTATTTTGTAAACTGTTGTTATTGTTGTTGTTTGTTATTGTTATGCATTCATACATCTAATTAGGTGATGTCATTCAATTCACTACAGTTACTTATTTTCATGCTCAAATTGTCCCTTGTTTGGCCAGTGAGGATTCCTTCAAATCAGATCCTAAGTCAATGCAATCACTACCCATGTAGTGGTTGATACTTTCCTTGCATTCTAGGAAGACAGAGTTTTCCTTAGTGGAAAATAAGCATGTAGACTTCAGAGTTTAGATGCTCATGGCTACTGGTTAGTCACTGTTTCTAGACCTTTTCAGTAGAAAAGTGCTAAGAAAAAAAATTTTTTAAAAAGATGATTCAGGGGGCCTCCCCGGTGGCGCAGCGGTTGAGCGCTGGGTTGCGAAGCTGCGCGCGGCCTCTGTGGCGCCGGTTCGATCCCCAGCTGCTCCCCGGACACCGGAGGAGGGTCCCGCATGGCGCGCAGACCTCTCCTGCCGCCCGCTGCTCCCCTCAGCAGTGTACTTCGGTCCTTCTGCCTGCTCTGCTCCCCGCTCTGGCTCTGGTGAATTCTCTTACCCTCCCGCGCTTCTGACTGTACCCAGTGCATGTATAAACAAAACAAACAAACAAACCAGCAAACAAATAAATAAAAAGCATGCCTCTATAAAAAAAAAAAAAAAGATGATTCAGCATGAGTCCACACTGACATTTCATTTGGGAATATAGGATTTTCACTTACCTTTTTCATTTTAATTTTTTAATCTCTTTTCTCTTTTTTGAGAATCTTGAGAATGGCAAAAATCCTACTGCCATTTTTCTTTTGTTCTGTTCTTCAATATATATTTTGAAACAACAGTAATAATACTATTACCAAAACTATGATTACCAAATACAAGTGAAGATTACTTTGTAAGTCTTGTCATCCTTAGAATATGGCCCCAGGAATATAATAATAAATTTATGTGTTTATAATGATTCCTATTTGACTAATCCACCAACTTGAAAGAGATTCATTTTCTTCATTTTGTTTCAAAATTTGAGAGTTGGCTTTCTATTAAGATTTAATTTTAATAATATGTAAACCAACTTACATGGTTCCAAAGTCAAAACTATTAAAATGGGTCCATTCAGAAAATGTTAGTTCTTCTACCACATTCCCATCTTCCCCCTATTGAGAACATTTTTGATTTTGGTATAAATTCCTCTGATTTTTGATATGAGCTAATATTTAATAATATAATGCCTTCTTAAACAAAGGCAGTACAATCTACACATTAAAGAAAAGTTCATTTAAAAAAGTTCATTTACACTTACTTCAATATATAGGCTTTTTGGAGGTTTCATATCCTGTGTAATGTCTAAACCTTCACAGCCTCCCAATGACCTCATATATGTAGCAAGAGACTTTTTGTAATGATTGAACCACTCCATCTGCAAATATAAAAATGGTCATTGGACGAAGTTGTAAGAATACAAACTTGCAGAAATTATATATACATACTTTCAAAATTAGCACACATCACCACATGGATCATTAATATGACCATTCATTCATTTAAACTACCAGTATTATTGACTGCCTGCTAGGAACTAGGCACTGGTCTGGGTTCTTAAGATGGATCATTCAACAAAGCGAACATAATCTCTGTTCTTAAAGAACTTATATCCTACTATGCTTAGTCACAGATGTAAGAAACAGGCCAACAGAAACAAAACCAGGAAAGAGACACCATTTTAGAATTATGATCTCCTCAAATTTTAAAATTATGATCTCCTCCAATCATAAAACATGATTGAGAATAATACCCAAATGTTCACCAAATGAATGAATGTTTGTCCATACAATGGAATATTATTCAGCCATTAATTGGAATGAAGTTTTGCTACATGTTACATAAGAATGAAGCCCGAAAATGTGCTAAATGAAAGACACAACAGACCATATATTGCATGATCTATTTACATGAAAAATCCATAATAGGAAAATATAAGGGTAGGAAATATAACTTTCAAGGATTGGGAAGAGGAGAGAGAATATGGGGCAACTGAAGATTACAGGGTTTCTTTTATGAGTAATGACTCTGTTCTAGAATAAAATGTACAACTCTGAACTCTTACACTAAAAATGATGCTAGTACTCTATACTGAAAAACACTAAATTGTGTACCTTTAAAGGAGTAATTATGCTATGTGGATTGTATCTCAGCAAATCTGTTGTTTTAAAAATTGTTGAGGAAAATAAAAGATCTAAATACATGGAAGGCTATGCCACAGTAATGAATTGGATGGTTCAGTATTATAATACTGTAAAGTGATTTGCAGATTCAATTAAACCTCAATCAAAATCTTAATTTTTTTTAAATGAAATTTGACAAATAGAGTATAAAATTTACATGGAAATGCAAAGGGCCAAAAGTAGTTGAGATACTCTTAATAAAGAGTAAGATGAGAATACTTGCTCAAGACTTACTATAATATACAATATTTTAAATATACAATAATATACAATAATTTAAAACAGTATGGTACTGACAAGCATAGATAAGAAGAGAAACAAAAGAAAAAGTTGCCCATTAAGAATCCAGATACACTGACAATCAATTTATGACAAAAGTGGTACCACACGGAGCAGTGGGGAAAGGAAGATCCTTTCAATAAATGATGCTGGGTCATCTCAAAATCCATATTTGAAATGCAACTTGATTTCTATATTATATACAAAAAATCAATCCAGTACTATAGATCTCTGTGGGAAAGATAAAACAATATAATTCCTAAAAGACTACATCGAAACATAAACAAAGAGTTCCCCAGATTCAATAGTTCTCAAAAATGACTCACGGTACTCAGGGAAATACTATACTGACAATGATAGCTTTACTATAGTGAAAAGGATACAAGTAAGAACAAACCAAAGGAAGAGACACATAGGATGAGGTCTGGGAGGGTCCTACACATAAAGCTTCTGATGTCCTCTCCCTGTGGAATCAGGACTATCCAGGCACCCAGCTATGTAATAGTGTACACAAACCACTGTGTTTGTGTTCAGGATATTTACTGAGATTCTTACACAGGAATGCCTGATTGACTCACGGGCCATGAGATGAGCTCCCTCTAGTTCCCCTCTCCTCTCTGAATGAGACTAATAACAAGTGAATCAAACCTCAAAGTTTGGAAACTGTCTAATTTGTAGTCAGCTGATCAGAGCAGAAGGAGTTCCTGAAAATTCCTGAACTTGTGGTGGGTGTCTGACGTGGCAGTCACAGTCGTAACCTGTAAAGTTTAGTCTAACACAAGGTAAGAGTCACTGCTACACTGCATATGTAAGTACTACAATCCTTACTTTGTAAATGAGAGAATTTAAGCATAAAGAAGTCAAGTTACTTTCCAAGATTAGATGGTGACAGAGGCAAGTTCCATACCCATGTTAGCTTGATTCTAAATCCTATGTCCTTAAACATTAGGCTAGCTCTATGCCTCAATGACTGCACAAATCAAGAATTTTCTTACAAATATTCTCATTGTGCATAAATATTTAATTGAAATATTAATTCTAGTTTTTTAATCCTAATAATGAATCACTAGTAAGTAACATTGTGGGACTATTTATTTTGTTAAGTAATAACAGTTTTCCATACAGCATTTAGAATTACTCCTACCACTCTCACCATAGTGTATACTAGATTAATACAGGAGAAAATTTTCTGAAAAACATGTTAAAAACAGAGAAATATCAGTAAATACTATTATGGAATATTGCCAGAACCTCAGAACTTTTCAAATTCAAATGAACCTGAAGAACAGTACTAACTTACTTCTTCAGCAGACATGTGAAATCGTAAAGCATTTGGCAAGACGCTACCATATTCCCATCTGAGTGCTCTAATCCGAAGCAATCGGTCATACCTAGGACATTAAGAAGGTATTAGACAGTATAATAAAAGGGATATTAGAAGTTGCCTTGATTAGAAGAGACTCAAGGCTCAGTAATCCAAATGTAAAATGTCGACTCTATTAGGTTCCTGAGGCAAAAAACAAAAGCAACTGTAAAAATATATCTTTGGGATGTGGTATATATATAACATACACACACAATGGGATGCTATTCAGCAATCAAAAAAGATGAACTTATGCCATTAGCAGCAACATGGATGGAGCTGGAAGGGATTATGCTCAGTGAAATAAGTCAGAAGGAGAAAGGAAAATATTGGATGATTTCACTTATAGGAGAAATATAGGGAAACTGAACAAGGGATCAGAGGGAAAAAAGACAAAACTAGAAGGCAAATTATAAATCCAAGATGTACAGCAGGGGAGGAGAAGGGAGAGGGATCAAAACAGGAGGGAAGAGCACAAGGATGCTGGCTCACGGGGGATGTAGTGGTGGGAGTTGTATGGGGATTACAAATCAAATCAAATATTGTACAAAATCAAATATTGTACAAAAATTAACAATGATGTGAAAATAAATGAATTAATTTTAAAAAACAACACATCTTTGGGACAGTAGGGAAAACATGAATATGGACTGGGATGGATACCACGAATTCTTGTTCACTTCTCCTGGTAGGACAATGGTACAGTGGTCATATGAGAAAATACGTAAAAAGGTCCTTCATTCTTAGAGGTGTGTACATGAAAGTATTCAGCAGTAAATGTTATAATGTGCTACAACAGTGTAGCATTGACAAGGCAAGATGACACAAACATAAAAATGTTTGTGATGACTATGCGATGACTCTATGGGAATTAGTAATGTTATTTTTCCTAGCTATATGGTTACTATAATTTCATAATTTTAGAATTTTTAATTTGAAAAAGAGATGAATTTAGAATGCTTACAAAGAAAAACAAATCTAAGCATTTCTTAACCATCCGAAATGGTTAATTAGGAAAACCTTCCCTGCCACCCAACTGAGAAAAAGGAGAAGCTTACAGGTATGCTACAGCGCAACGTCGATTTCTTAACAATGAACAATGTCGAAATTTGATAGTTGGTATCAAATCACTTCGTCCACCTGACTTCGCCTCATTCCTATTAAGAACATTTAGAGAAGAAAACAACAAATTTGTACATTCAGTACAAGCAAAGTTTTCAAAGTCAACTGACATGTTTGTTTTTATCATTTATGACTGATAATGAACCTAAGCAAATAGTACCTACCTCTACATAAGGCTTTAATTAAATATGCTAAGATATGAGAGTCAAAAGCCAAAACTGAGTAGCTTGCTTAAGATAATATTCTCAGGTTTTCATTTAACCACATGGTATTTTGCATTTTTCCATATAGATTAATTTTCCTATTTCCAAAAGACAAAGATTGTGTTCAATCACCTTTAGGAATTCCTTTATCATACTGGGATAAAAGACAAACCTATCTATATACACTCCTCTCATAGAACTTCCAAACCATCATTGTAAGAATTAAAATGTGGTCAAAATGGTCCTTCACTCATCCAACAAATATTTTTTGATCATCGATTATGTGTATACATTCTACTTCAGTGTTCTTCACACTGACAGGAAAAATTTTTGGTTTTCCCTATGAAATATATTAGGTATTAGACAAGTATGTTTTAAAACTAGAATGCATACTGTTTCAGTATTACAAGTGGAAAATTATGAAGATGGAAGGTGGTGACAGCCGAACACTATTATGAATGTGTTCAATAATATTCAACTGCACTTAAGAATGGTTAAGATGGCAGAATTTTAAGTTACGTGAATTTCACAATAAAAAAATGGAAAAACAAAACAAAATAAGATATATGAAATGAGTAAGAATCTACTTTGTAGTTTTATTTTTTTTTAAAGATTTATTTATTTATGCATACAAGAGGTGGGGTATAGGCCAGAGATGGGGGTGGGCGGGTGAGAGGACTCATCAGAGACAGAGTGGGGAACAGAACAGGCAGACTGACTGAAATTCACTGCTGAGGGGAGCAGCGGGTGAGACAGGAGAAGTCTGCTATGCCATGTGGGTTGCTCCCTGGCAGGCTGGGGATCGAACTCATGCTGCAGAGTCTGCAGATTGCTTCAGTGCAGTGCTTAACCTCTTGCGCCACCAGGGTGGGCCCTACTTTGTAGTTTTAAAAGGAACCAGGTGAATACAAAAAGTTCCTTGACGCAATACAAGACAATGAAAAAAGAGGCAAAATATATTTCTCCTTCTATTGTGTCTTCTAGATCTTATTTTATGCATTCCTGAGATTCTATTAAGTCAGATTTATTCTCCCCATTGTTTATAATGTGCTTGGACTAAAAATAATACTACAAATAAAATACACACAACCTAACATCAGAGTACTTAATAAGTACATAAGGATGTCCTTAAAAGGACACACATTTACACACTTAAACAATTACACAAGTGATTTTAATAAACAATTATTTTAAAAAATAATTTATAACTAGAAACTGGTAGTAGTTACTGTCGCCCCAAAAAGAAACTGGGAGGATGGGGCACAGAATTTGGGATCATGAATGAATGTGCAAATGGTAAAATCTAGAGACCAACAGGCCTTACTGGATCAAGTCCTATTGGGCCACCTCCAAAATGGGTGTTCAACCTGTTCACTTTTTACCAAGTTCTGGTCAACTCTCCAGTCACCTGAATGACCAGTACGTCTCCCTCTTCTCTCAGCCCCTGTCCACTATCCATGCAGCAGCCAGGGTGCTCTTTTAAACACAAATGTGCTACCATCTGGGTCATCCTTCCAAGTCACTGAATTTCAGCCACACCAGTTTTGTCAGTGTCAGTTTCCTCGGCACCTCACCCTCCTATGCCCATGATGCTCCCTCCCAGTAGAATGTTCTGCCCATACTTACTCTCTGGCTAAAATCTGTTTTTTCTTCAGACTCAACTGCAAGGACTCTTCCTAATTCTTCAGTCTAATTATATCATCAATCCACTAGTCTCCCATTATCTCTCCTAGCACTCTGCTGCTTCCCTTCATAGCAAGTATCCCAATTTGGTATAATGGTATTTAGTTATCTGTCTTTCACATGAGACTGAAGGCCAATAGGGGCAGAAGTCTTGACTATGTTCTTTACTAGAGCCACTTACAGGCAAATGTTTAGTACACATTTCTTAAATGAATAAATGGCTTGGGAAATTGAGTTCAGGACTTTACATTTGCCTTACATTACAGCAAACCCGCTGTGGTTCAGTCCTAATTTCATGCGTAAAGATTTTTCTGTATCTATCCTTAAACATTTGGCAAAATACTCCTATTGTTTTCTGTGCTCCAAAAATCTTATCAACATGCTACTGACTTCTACAGTCAAGTAACTGACAGAAACATTCTACGTAACAAGGTCATTCCTCATGTCGCAAATCTAAACACCTCACCTTTGATCTAGTAGTTGATATTCTTTTGTGTCTTACTCTTCACCACATCATGGGAACCAATGAAGCTTGCCATAGAACCCAAATTTACATTGTGCCAACTACCATGCTCAGGTCTAAATATTCTACAAATCTAGAGTCCTCTTACTTACCAAGCTGTATCCTTTGGTAGCACTAGTTTTCAGTAAACTCCAAGCTATGGTGAATCATGTCCCTCCTGAAAAGTATACAAACTTCCCATTCCTCTTCAAGGCAAAGGCATCCACTAATGAAATGGCTTTTCACTTAAGGCTTTTATTTGCTCATGACTCGTCTCTTTTAAGTCTACCCTAACTCCTTTTAAGGCCTTACAGTCAAGCAACATACATTTACTGAGTATTTAGCTTGTGCCAGGCGCTATTTGAATCCCTTATGCAATTATCAACACACATTTCACCAGTTCTGTTATCATTTGTATAATTAGAGTATGATTAGGCTGGGAATTTAAAACAACACAGGGCCTTCCTGGTAGCACAAGGGGTTAAGACACAACCTGTGAGCTATCCGCAGCCTCTGCAGCACGAGTTCGATCCCCCAGCCAGCCAGGAGCAACCCACATGGTGCAGCAGACCTCTCCTGACTCGCCCACTGCTCCTCTCAGCAGTGTACTTCGGTCAATCTGCCTGTTCTGTTCCCCGCTCTGTCTCTGGTGAGTCCTCTCACCCCCACACCTCTGCCTGTACCCCGGCTCTCATATGCATAAAATAAAACAAATCTTAAAAAAAAAACATAAAACACAACACACATTTAAAAACTGATAAAAAGTATCTGATTTTGATATCTTACTTATAAAATTGTTTTAAAATATCAATCTCATCAAACTTACACATCAGACTGGTTTTGTTCATATAAAGCTTTCATCTCCTCCAGAACTTGCCTGAGCCCATCCTCCTAGAACATATGATGTTAATACATTTATTAATTTCCCAACAAGTCTGTAGCAATATTCTATTTGTTACATTCATCTTACATTTATCTATTTACCAAAGTCAAGTGTTTTTAGACCTACTAGGATGATTGTAATAATTGTTGGCAAGGATGGGGAGAAATTGGAACCCGCATCTATTGCAGATAGGGATGTAAAGAGGTACAGCCCTGTGGAATACAGTCTGATGGTTCTTTAAAAGATTAAACATAGAATTACTGTATTACCCAGCAATTCCACTCTGGGTATATACCCAAGAGAAACTGAAACTGTATGTTCATACAGAAACTTGTATACAAATGTTCATAGTAGCATAATGGCGAAAAACTTGAAACAACCCAAATGTCCATCAACTAAGGAGTGGATAAACCAAAATGGTCTATCAACTCAACGGAGATATTATTGACCATAAAAAAGAAATCAGTATGGATACATGATACAATGTAGATGAACCCTGAAAACATGCTAAATGAATGAAGTCAGGCACAAAAGGAAAAATACAGTATGATTCCACTTATCTACTTATCTTAAATATTTAGAATAGGCAAATTCATAGAGAAAACAGATGGCAGTTATTAGGATCAAAGAGGAGTGGGGAGTTACTGGTGAGTGGTTACAGAGCTTCTGTCTGGAGTGATGAAAAAGTTGGGAAATGGGATGATGGCTGCATAACAATGTGAATGTGATGTGGACAAATTGTGCTGTATTTTACCACAAAAAAAAAGGAATGCATACTGACAACATAAACGATCAGCAGAGTGATGGAAGGATCATCTCCAAAGAGGTCGAGAACAACAAGTGCCTGCTCTATGATATCTACCGATCCTTCACAGAAATGTTTGCAACTCCTGGCACTCTGAAGCCAGAAATATGTAAAAAAGACAAATATAGGGCCTCCCTGGTGACTCAAGGGGTTAAGTCTTGCACTAAGAAGCTATTGGCAGATACTGCAGCATGAGTTCGATCCCCGGGCAGGGAGCTACGCACATGGCGCAGCAGACCTCTCCTGTCTCCCCTCAGCAGTGTATTTCAGTCAATCCGCTTGTTCTGCTCCCCACTCAGTCTCCAGTGAATACTCTCACACCCCCGTACCTCTGGTCTACACCCCAGCTCTTGTATGCACGAATAAATAAAATAAATCTTAAAAAAAAAAAAAACAAATACAATCAGAGGTCACCAAAAGTAAAACCATAATTACTTAAGGCTGAAGGTAGAAGGTAACTACAAAGGGGAAAAGGGAGCCTTTCGGAATGACAGAAATCTTGATTAGGGTTCTGGTTAAAAGGATGTATGTAATTGTCAATACTCAAAAACGTGTATTTCATTCTATATAAATTATACCTCAATAAATTAATGATAAAAAATCAATAGTCCCACAAAAACAATAAGGCATGACCAAAGTATGTAAATAATTTATTGCTAAAAATGGTTCTTAAATGTTACTACTAAAAAAAAAAAGAACAATGTTTTGGCTTGTTCTATAACAATAGAAAGGTCAAGGAGTTTTTCAACTGTCTACTTTGGAATAAATTTTTAAGTTTTCCTTTGTAAGGATAAAAGCATTAAAAGTTCTGAAATTCCTAAGTGTTTTACAATAGGACTGTCAACACACCAAAGATAATTGATCTATATATTTTTCAATTCTACTTTTAGGACCAAAAATACACATTAGCAAAAATGCTTTGGCACTACTGGCATAATTACAAAATAAGCCTGCTCAAATATAAGAAAAGATACAATTCCTGATGAAAAATGTAGTATGACTTCTTTCTTCCCTTTCATCAGCTGTTAAAAAAGAGATCATGGGAAAATCTGATTTATTAGAATTCAGTTAAATATTTCTTTTATCAGCTAGTATTATTTTATGGAGTAGCTAAAACTCTTATACAATGATTAGATCTGTAGGCACACAAAAGAAAAGTATGGTATCAGTTTGTTGCAACCTATTACCTGTTTTCCTTTTCCTCTCCCAGTAGAATGTTCCCTGGTATATACACAGTAGTTGCCCTACTATTGGGGAAGTAGTCAAGTATAGAATTTAGAGAGCCGGTCTGGAGTCACACCACTAGGGTTTAAATCATAGCTTTACCATGGGCAAGATAATTAACCTCCCCCAAGTTCCTGCACATGTAGCTGGAAAAAATGTAAAAGAGCAGCTCTCTTCCCAACACTGCCCACCTGTGACTATGCAGGTGCCTCTCTTTATCTTTCTCCTTTTCCTAATAAAAAATCTGTCCCTTTAAAATGTAAAAAAGGGGCCTCCCTGGTGGTGCAGGCAATTGGGTGCTGCACTGTGAAACTGTCCGCAGCCTCTGCAGGACAGGTTCGATCCTGGCTGGTCAGCAAGAATCCCACATGGCAAAGTAGACCTCTCCTGTCTCGCCCGCTGCTCCCCTCAGCAGTGTATTTCGTCAGTCTGCCTGTTCTGTTCCCAACTCTGTCTCTGGTGAATCCTCTCACCATCCCGCACATCTGGCCTGTACCCTGGTTCTTGTATAAAAATAAATAAATCTTTAAAATAAATAAATTAATTAAATAAAAGGTAAAAAAGGGGGCTCCCGGGTGGTGCAAGGAGTTAACATGCAGCACTATGAAGCTATCTGCTGCCACTGCAGCACCAAGTTCAATCCCCTGTCAGGGAGGTGACCCACATGGTGCAACAGACCTCTCCTGACTTGCCCACTGCTCCCCTCGGCAGTGTATTCCAGCCAATTCGCCTGTTCTGTTCCCCAGTCTGTCTCTGGTGAATCCTCTCATCCCCACATCTCTGGCCTGTGCCCCAGTCTTGTATCCATAAATAATCTTCAAAAATGTGAAAAAAAGGGGGCCTCCTTGGTGGCCTAGGTGTTTAGTCTCAGTGCTATCATCACTACGGCCTGAGTTCAAAGAACAATTCCCAACCATGGAGCTAACCCAAGTATGGCACAACAGACTTCTATCTCACCTGCTACTCCCCTTAGCAGTGTATTTCAGTACATCTGCCTGTTCTGCTCCCCACTCTGTCTCCCGTGAATCCTCTCACCATCCCCCACACCGTACCTCTGGCCAACATCCCAGTTCTTCTATGCAAAAATAAGTCAGTAAAATCTTCAAAAAAAAAAAAAAAGAAATCTCCATTAAAATATCAACAATATTCTTTTAAAAACTGAACAAAAAATAGTAAAGTTTATATGGAATCATAATAGGTTTCAAATATCTAAAGCAATGCTGAGAAAAAGAGGATCACATCACCTGACTTAAAGCTATTCTAAATAGCAACAGTATTTAAAACAATGTAATATTAAAATAGACACATGGATCAATGGAACTGAATCAATAGTCCTGAAATAAATCCACAAGCATATATCATTGCTTAAGTCATAAAGGAGCCACAATCAGATGAGGAAAGGATTCTCCATAACAAATGGTCCTGGGAAAACTGAACAGCCATATGTAAAAGAATGAAGTTGAATTGCTCTCTTATTCCATGCATAAAAATAAATTCAAAATGGATTAAAGACTTAGATATGAAACAACAAAATATCTAGTAGAAAACATTGGCAGTAAGTTTCATGACATCGATGATAAAGATGTTTTTGAAGACTTAAGCCCTAAGCAAAGGAAATAAAAGCAAAATTAAACAATTTTGATTACCTCAAATCAGAAAGCATTTACACAGCAAAATATAAGTAGATTTAAAAGGGGTTAATATCCAAGATAAGCCAAAATTTTTTCAATTTAACAATTAAAAAAACCCCAACTAATAAACAGGCAGTAGACGTAAACAGACAATTCACCAAAGGGAATATCCAGGTCAACAGACATGGCAATTTTCATCATTGTTTTAGTAGGAGAGATGCAGGTCAAAACCACAATGAGATATCATCTCATACTTATGAGAATAATACATGTTAAAAAAAATCCCTAGCAAAAACTGTTGGAGAGGATGCAGAGAAAGAAGAGCCCTATCATACCCTTGATGCGAATATAACCTGGTGTAGCCATTTTGAAAAGCAATCTGCATTTAACTTAAAAAAAAACAAAAAATGGAAATGCTGTAAACCAACAATCCTTCTCTTAGTGATCTATCAGAAGAACAAGAAACTATCAACTGAAAATTATATGCTGTACAACGTTTATTGCAGCATTCTACATAAAAGCTAAAGCATAGAAACATTAAGTGCTCACAGATAAACAAGTGGATGAAGATGTGGAATGTCTATACAACAGAATATTAGTCATAAGAAAAGATGAAATGTTGCCCATTTACCATAAAATGGAAGTTCAAGGGAATTATGTATAATAAAGCAAGTCAGAATGGCAAACACAAATAATGGCGTCTACATAGTAGATGACTCAACAATGCAAAACACTTGTAAAAAATAGCAGACATTAATAAACAAAGTATGGCATCTGAGGTTAAGAAGGAGGGAGAAGGGCAGGTCAAATGGTTGGGTATAGTGGTTAAAAAAAAAAAAAAATTAAAAAAAAAAGAGCTGGGGTCTCGCCCGTGGAGCAGCAGTTGAGCGCTGGGTTGCGAAGCTGCCGCAGCCTCTGCAGCGCCGGTTCGATTCCCGGCTGCTCCCCGGCCACCGGAGGAGGGTCCCACATGGCGCGCAGACCTCTCCTGCCGCCCGCTGCTCCCCTCAGCAGTGTACTTCGGTCCTTCTGCCTGCTCTGCTCCCCGCTCTGGCTCTGGTGAATTCTCTCACCCTCCAGCGCTTCTGACTGTACCCAGTGCATGTATAAATAAAATAAATAAATAAATCTTAAAAAAAAAAAAAAGAGCTGAACAAAGTTATGTATGGGTACATAACTAGAGAAACATGAACTAGTAAAAAAAAATGTAAAGATGCAGAATTTTGCAAATACCTAGTTTAAATAGTTAATTCACTCTATTCATGAGTAAGCAATAAAACAAGTAATGGGGTAAGACAAAGACTGTATCTGGATTCTGGCTGTTATTGTTTTGATCACTTAGGATAAATTAATGCATAAATGAGTACATTCATTTTAAATCTAATTGCCAATAACCTCATGCTCATTGTGTTCTAGTGGTGTAGCCCTTAAAGTATTCCACAGGGATTGTGAAGGTTATGAAGGCAGAGAAGTATTCCACAGGGATTGGAGGTTATGAAGGCAGAGAAGTACAGTTAGGGAAGTGTTCTAACACAATTTGGGTTCAGTAGCACCTAATTAGACTATTATTGCAGTATCTGTCCGAATGATAACATTGTAAATGATCTCATCAGGGTCAACAGGAATAAACTTAAATAGTAAAAATATAAATAAACTATAATTTAAGACGGGCCAGAATCCCAGTCTGGCTCCATGGGCCTAGCTTTGAATCACCACCCCTCGCTGCCTGAGTGTGCAACAAATGCTAGACGATCAGGCAACCAACAAATGATTGAACAAAAGAACAGAGCTGTACATGAAAAAAAAATTCACGGAAAAGATAAGGGAATTCACCAAATCACTGGCAGATACAAACATGAATGATTTTTTTTTTATTTTCCCATACTTTGTCTCGCCCAGCTCCAAAACTTTGGATCCCAACTTTGTATCCCAAGCAAGTGAAAAGCAAAATCTGCAGGGAACACTCGAGGAAGAGCCCCAGGCGGGCGGCCGAGCCAGGCCCCGCCTCCAAGCGCCCTCGACCGCGCCCACGACCCGCCCAGGCGCCTCCCCCGCCCGCGCCGCGCCCGCCCCCTTACATTAAAGGCGGGCAGCTGCCCTTCGGGCGCGCGGTGCAGCTCGCGGATCAGCTCCATGGCCTTTTCGCAGAACATGGTGGAAACACCCCGGTCCCGCGGTTCTGTCAACCGCCCGCTCTCAAGCCAAACGGTCGCCGGTCTCTGGGCTCTAATGGCTCTCGCCTCACAGCTCAGGTTCTCGCCCCCGGCTCCGCGCTTTGGCGCCAAACGCGCCCAGCCAATAGGAACGCGCTGTGAGCCTCGCGGCCTACGGCGGCGGTGAAGGGACACTTGACTTACGGGGCGGCCGCACCACAGGAGGGCGGGAAGGGGGCGGTCTCTCCCTGGGGAGACCCCGCTGTCTAGGGAAGGGAAGGCGGGTCACGGTGACAGTCTGTAGGCTGGTTGGGCTCTTTCTTTCTTCTTTTTTTTTTTCCTTTTATTATTACACTTGCAACTTTAAGAAACATACCATCACATATGCCTCCATTCAGTGAAAATCTATTCTAATTTTGGGAAGCATATGTGTCACATACTCTCTTGCTTCTAGTCTCCAAGTAAGAGTTTATCATAAAGGTAGTCTCTGAACTACGGAATCCTGAGCTTTGAGGTTTTGAATGTTTTGAAAAATGTAAAAGAATTTCAAGTGGATAAGCATAAATCCCAGCTGTTTTATCTTCTGGAATGGGCTGTTTTGAAGTTGTCTAGTCCATTGCAAGGATATTTTATCCCTTAAACTCTGTCATCTATTCTGTCTTTGAAAAACTTGGTTAAAAGGGATTTTTTACATTGATTCAAAAGAACACCTGTACATCTATGTTTATTGCAGCACTATTTACAATAGGTAAAACCTGGAGGCAACCCAAATGCCCAAAAATAGATGACTGGATCACGAAGATGTGGTATATATACACAATGGAATATTATTCAGCAATCAAAAAAGATAAACTATTGCCATTCGCAGCAATGTGGATGGAACTAGAAGGAATTATGCTCAGTGAAATAAGCCAGAAGGGAAAAGAAAAATATCGGATGGTTTCACTTATAGCAGGAATATAGGGGAACCAAATAAGACATCAATGTGAAAAAAAATAACAGTACCAAACACAACAAAGCAAAAACGGACAATTATAAATCAGAGACATACTGCAGGGGAGGAGGAGGGAGAGGGATCCGAGGGAGCGAGGGAGGAGCACAGGGGTCTGAGGTGATGGTGCACCGGTGCATTGTCAAAGGAAACTCTATAGGGACTACACCTGAGGGGGTGGGGGGAAGCAAATATTGTTTAAAAATGAACAATGATGTAAAAAAATTAATATTAAAAAAGGAATTTTGTTCCTGTACAATAAGGATGAATTTACCAGAACATACCCAATAATAATTCTAATAAAAGCAGCACAGAGAATGTGTATGCGTATGTTCACTGTGATGACTTCATAAACTAGTGACTAACTGTGGAGATTATTTCTGGAACAATACAATCCAAGTGTAGTTCCAGGTACACACAGCTCTTGGTATCTAACATTGATGAAAATTAAAGGGTAAGTGTACAAATACATACTCATATATGATTATGTTTTCAAGATATACTTTTTGTGGAAGTAAACAGGAAGGGGAGCTTTCAGGAAGCCGTTGCTGGGACTGGGAAGGTTTAAGCTATGGCTTTGGTAAGCACCCAACCAAGTTAGTTGTAGGAAGCATTCGAAAAGAGTAGATTCTATAGCATTAAAGGTGACTATGTCATTTAGTTTATGTTGCTGAATGATCCAAAAGCCTTTGGTTGTGTGATATGGACAAGAAAAACATTAATACACAAACCACATAACACCATTAGAACACAAAAGTCATTGCTTCATTTTACAAAATACTTCAAACGCATAAAACAGGGTTCCATTTATTTTTTTTCTCACTTTTTGGAATGGGATGTATTAGTGGCTCCTCCACTGTCACACTGTTGATCTCCAAGCCAGTGTTATCACTGGTCCCTTCCTCTGCCATACTGTCCACCTGCTCCTGCCCGCTCTCCTTGTCCTCAGGAGTAGACATGCCTTCTTCACCATTTTGTTGGCTTTCTGTAGTTTCTTCAAGGTGTGTATCCTCTGTGTCCAGTGAAATGTTCTCACCTTCTTTATTTTCTTCAGTTTAATTAGCACCTTACTCTTCCTCAGGAACTATGCTGCTCTGACCAAGTTCAGCTCGAGTGGACTTTTGAGTTCCCAGGCGGCTAACCAGGCAGCTGCAGGAGTATAGCTCAGGGTAAATGCATGCCCTGACTTCCTTTTTCCATTTTATTCATTTTCAAAGCTGATACACTCTGGAGAAGGCCCAGAAACTTGGTGTGCATTATGTTTTGATGCAGCATTTAATTTTGTTTAATGTTGCAATGTGGGTTTTTTGTTTGTTTAATAATAAAGGGCAATCAGCTTTCATTGGGTATCTCCTGTGTGGTATGGGACTGTGATATTTGTTTCATTTAATTATCATTATTGCTCCTAAAGGTGGTTAACATTCATGGTAATAACAAACAAAAAATAAAAAAATTCCTGGTACTGATGATGAAACAGAGAAGTTAGATAACTTGTCACACAGCTCGTAAAGTGACAGTCTCTGCATTTAAGATTTCCATTTTCTTTTTTTTTAAGATTTATTTATTTATTTATCTTTTTTAAAGATTTATTTATACAAGAGCTGGGGTACAGGCCAGAGATGCAGGGGGTGAGAGGATTCACCAGAGACAGAGTGGGGCACAGAACAGGCAGACTGACTGAAACACACTGCTGAGGGGAGCAGTGGGCGAGACAGGAGAGGTCTGCCTCACCATGTGTGTTGCTCTTGGCCAGCCGGGGATAGAACTGGTGCTGCAGAGGCTGGGGATTGCTTTGTAGTGCAGTGCTTAACAGCTTGCGCCACCAGGGAGGCCCCTAAGCTTTCCACTTTCAACTATACATTACTACCTTTGATTTTAAAGTCATTTGAGAACACTGGCCTACATGGGGAATGCCCTAATAAAACAAATTCACATATTCCTATGTGAATTTCACATGAGTATGGAAATTTTCACAACAATAGAGAATCAAAAGTAGAAATCACTGCTGTAGAAACAATTTCTTTTATTTGGCTATTTTTGTAAAAAGCAATGTTTTTTAAGATATTGTTTAGATTTACTCTAGCTGCTTGAGAAGTTGTGTTCCTCTTTTGCAAATATAGATACAGTCAATGTGTGATCTGAGAAATGGTCATGAGAATGACTTCTGAATACTATTCTTATGTTGACTGACATTTCCTTTTCAGCTTTGCAGTAAGGAATAATTGAGCTAAATGTTATTAATAAACAACCAGTCTAAAACTTTTCAAGAAGTGAGGTAAATAGTGATATCCTTAGTTTGTTAATACAGCCTGAGAATTCTCTACATGCATTTGTTAGGTTTCTACATCTTTAATACATCAACTTCTGTGTTAAGTTAAATTGTAACAAATTTGTGCTGTTCTTAGTATATGCAATGCACTAGACTTCCTGTTTTATTCTTGTACATAAAAAAGTGCAATATAGAGATGTATACAGTCTTTGGTATATTGAGTTTATAAATTGTTTCAAAATTTCATTTTTTTAAAGATTTATTTATTTATGCATACAAGAGCTGGGGTACAGGCCAGAAGTGCAAGGGGCGGGGGTGCAAGGATTTACCAGAGACAGAGTGGGGAACAGAACAGGCAGATCAACTGAAATACACTGCTGAGGCGAGCAATGGATGAGTCAGGAGAGGTCTGCTGCACCATCTGGGTCTCCTCCCTGACCAGCCAGGGATCGAACTTGTGCTTCAGTGACTGCGGATAGCTTCATAGTCAGCGTCTTAACCCCTTGCGCCACCAGGGAGTCCCCAAAATTTTCATTTTTTTTTAAAGCCATAGTATATGTAATTGGTAAATCATAAATCCTTGGTGAATAGTGGTGTCCTTTAAATATTTCACCATGTTATATTTTCTTTTGAGGCATTAATTAATAAATTTTATATTTGGGAAAATATAGGGTTTTCACTTTTTTTAATTTAGCTAAATTTTATTACCAAAGATTTTATGTTAAATATTTCATTTGTTATTAAAATGTATTATTAAATGCACAGTTCAATAGTGGACCATGCTGTAGGATTGTAATCCAAAGATCAACAGCAGCCACAACCTTCCTTTGCCATAAAACTTTCATAATCCAGAGCAGAGGCAAAGTCCCTTAATATTCCTGATTCATTTCCTTATCTGTACAATGGGCAAAAATAATACCCACTGTTGGGGTTCCATAGTGGTTTTTTGGGTTCCTTCTGAGAAAGATTTCAGCGAGTTTCCCATTCAGTGGCACTCAGCGAGTTTATTAAGGCAAAAGATATTTGCATAGACAAAAACAGGTAAAGGCTACATTTTCAAAGGGTAGATTATTAGGAAAAAGAGATGCCTGCATAGATGCAGGTGGGCAGTCATAGGGCAAGACCTGCATTTTGCCAGAACAAGGGGTAGACTTATATAGTGTTCTTTGGGAGGATTCATTTCCTTGGTGTAATTTTATTGCTTTGAGGTCAGGTCAGGTTGGGTTGGATTGGTTTCTGCAAATACTGATAATCCTTTCTGACCCTGCATCTGATTCCTGGAAACTTCCATAGCTGGTTTAATGATCCTACCCCCACCACTAGATTTTGACCTTACGATAACTTCTATCCTCAATTTTCTACTCTAAGATTCCATCACCACTTCTGAGGTGTTGTGATAATTCAGTCCTTCCTTCAGCAAATATTTATCAAGAACCTATCACACATTGGGCATTGTTCGAGATACTGAAGATAAAACAGTGAACAAAGTCCTTGCTGTTAGAGTCCACATTCCTGTGTGGAAAAAGAGCAATGCACAGATACAGATATACTGATGACCAATATCTTGTGAAAAATGCTAAGATGACTAACCCAAGCAAGGGGAACAGAGTGAGGGTGACAGGGTTTGAGTCAGTGTCAGAGAAGGTGCAGACCTCAAGTGGGAAGAGAGTAGGTTTTGTGGCTATGGAGAATTCCGGTCCAGCAGGCATCAGGAATGCAAGTATAAAGACTCCAAGGAGGGGTGTGGGTGAAAGGCACACATGCCACCCCTCCCCAGGGCCATTGCATCAGCAAAGAAGCAATGATGCAGGTGCAGGATGAGAGAGAAGGTGGTTGAGATCAGAGTTAGGACTAGGAACCAC